AGGCCGCCATGGGATCCACGTCCTCATTGCGGCGGTCGTAATCCTCGTTGGAGTAGGTGCTGAACACCTGGGGGGACGAGGGAACCGCTCAGGCATGGGGGAACCCTACAGGAAACCCCAGGAGTGATGGGGGAATTGGGGTGACCACATGAAACCCCACAGGAACCCCCGGGAGTGATGGGGGAATGGGGGTGACCACATGAAACCCCACAGGAACCCCCGGGAGTGATGGGAATTGGGGTGAGCACATGAAACCCCACAGGAACCCCCCGGGGGATTGGGGCTGAGCACACGAGACCCCACAGGAACCCCCCAGGAGTGATGGGGAATTGGGGGTGAGTGCACAAGACCCCAGAGAATCCCCTGGGGGATTGGGGATGAGCACACGAGACCCCACAGGAACCCCCGGGAGTGATGGAGAATTGGGGGTGAATGCATGAAACCCCACAGGAACCCCCGGGAGTGATGGGGATTGGGGCTGAGCACACGAGACCCCACAGGAACCCCCAGGAGTGATGGGGGGATTGGGGTGAGCACACAAGACCCCAGAGAATCCCCCGGGGGGTTTGGGATGAGCACATGAGACCCCACAGGAATCCCCCGGGGAATGGGGGCTGAGCACATGACAACCCAGAAAATCCCCCGGGGGATTGGGGGATTGGGGATGAGCACATGAGATCCTGGAGAAACCCCCGGGGAATTTGGGACTGAGCACACAAGACCCTGGAGAATCCCCCGGGGGGACTGGGGAAACAGGGGTGAGCACACGAGACCCCAGAGAATCCCCCAAGAGTGACGAGGGAATGGGGGCTGAGCACACGAGACCCCAAAGAATCCTCCAGGAAATGGGGGCTGAGGACACGAGACCCCATAGGAAGACCCCCAGGAGTGATGGGGAAACGGGAGTGAGCACATGAGACCCTGGAGAATCCCCCAAGAGTGCTGGAGATTGAGGTTGAGCACACGAGGCTCCACAGGAGCCACCCGGGAGTGATGGGGATTGGGGTTGAGCATATGAGACCCCGGAGAATCCTCCAGGGAACGGGGGCTGAGCACAAGAACCCAAGGAATCCGCCCGGGGATTGGGCTGAGCACAGAAGACCCCAGAGAATCCCTGTCCCAAAGGGTTTGGGAGGTCCGGGAGTTCTGGATCCCATAGGAGGGATGGTGGAATGGAGGGAGGGATGGAGGGAGGGATGGGTGGGTGGAAAAAGGAAGGGAAGGAGGGAGGAATTTAGGAAGGAATTTAGGAATTTAGGAATTTAGGAAGAAATTTAAGAAGGAAAGGAATTTAGGAAGGAATTTAGGAAGGAATGAAAGAAATTTAAGAAGGAATTTAGGAAGGAATGAAAGAAATTTAAGAAGGAATTTAGGAAGGAAGCAAGGAAAAGGAAAGAATAAATGAAAAGATCCCAAATCCATGGGGATTCTGACCCCCATCT